CTGTCTCAAATTGTATTTCTTACTTTGAGAGCAGATGCATCCGTTGCTAAACGTGTAACAAGAGCTCCAACTGAATTTGATTCTTGATCAAAATATTCCATGTCTTGTTGCAGTATTGCTGAAAATGTTTTTTTTCGCATACGCATAGTAAATTCTTCTCCTGATTTTGCAAATGCAGCTGTACTAAGACATTGAGCGACACCTCCAACAATACCAATAGCAAAAATACTTGCTGCATATATAATTGTTAAATGTTTTTGTTTTTCAACATCTGGTTCAGCAAATAAACTATAGACCTCAGAAAAAATAAGTGCAACAAGTGGTGGAGTAGCACCAAAAATTATAGAAGAAATTGTACCCAAAAGAATCCAATACCATTCTGGAAGATTAAGTTTAAAAACTTGAAATATAAGTGGAGTATTAAAAGATTTCTTTGGTTTTTCTAATGAATCATTCAATTTTATATCATCATTATTATTCATATTTTCATCGGTAACATCACTCGATAAACTTATTTGTTTGGGTAATGTATGAGATACTAAGGTTAATAAAAGAATTAATTTTGAAAAAAATTAATTATAATTATATACCTGATTTTTCAATTTCATCCTCATCTTCTTCTTCTTCGTGAATATGCATATGAACTTGTTCTTCTTCTTCTTTTTTACTTCGAGTAGTAACTAATTCATAATAAAAACCTTTCTGTTCCATTAATTCATTATGAATACCATATTCAACCATTTGTCCATGTTCTAATACAAGAATTAAATCAGCATTTTGAATTGTACTTAAACGATGAGCAATAACAATTGTTGTTCTACCCATTTTAGCTTTATCTAAAGCATCTTGTACAATTCTTTCGCTTGTATTATCTATTTTATAAAAGAAAAAAAAATAAAAGATTATTTTTCTAAAAAATTATTACGAACCAAGTGCACTTGTTGCTTCATCTAAAAGAAGAATTTTTGGATCTGATATTAATGCTCGAGCAATTGCCACTATAAAATATCAATTTATTTAATTTATCTTCGAAAATTTAAATATTCTTACCACGTTGTTTTTGACCACCACTTAATTTATCACCTGCTAATGTTTTATATTTCTATAATTAACAAAAAGAATTCTTATGATAAAAAAAATTAATTTTACCTCTGGTAGTTCCATAATAAAATCATGTGCATTAGCCATTTTAGCAGCAGCTTCAATTTCATCATCAGTTGCATTTGGTTTTCCAAATAGAATATTATCTTCAATTGATATATTGAAAAGAACAGGTTCTTGACTAACAATTCCAATATGTGAACGAAGCCATGCAACATTTAATGTTTTTACATCTTTTCCATCAAGAAAAATTTGACCTTCGTCTGGATCATAGAATCTTTGAATTATTGTACTTTCTTTAATATAATTATAAAGATTTATAAAACAAAAAGCATATTCCAACTTACTGCCATTTCCAGACTCTCCAACTATAGCAATTGTCTTACCCGACGGAATGTTTAATGATAATCTATTAAGTATCTACAAAATAAAAAGAATATTTTTATTGGTAAAATCATTTATGAACACTATACTAGTGCTTCTGGTCTTGCAGGATAACTGAACATAACATTATCGAATACAATATTACCAATACATTTTTGTGGTGTATCTCCTTCATTACTTGTTACATCAATCGCTGTTTGCTAATAGAAAAAAATATGTTTCAAGAAATTATAATTCACTAAATTAAATTTACTCGATCAATAATATTGAATACATAACTTCCGCTAGCAAAAGCTTCAGCAAAACTTTGAAAATTAGGAACAAATTGTGATAGACTAAATGTTGCTACCTAATAAATAGATATATTAAATTCTTTGAATATTTTCTAAATGATCATTTACCATACAACCTATAAAAACCTATTTATACAATAAATAAAAGTTAAATAGTAAATAATACACGTATATGATTTACATACTGCTAAGACTGTTCCAGCTGAATAATGTGTACAATCTGTTCGAACAAGTTCTGGACCATACCTTAAATTAGTTAAGGAAAAGTAAACGTAACAAAATGAAAAGTAATTCGAGTTTTTTTGTTACCAAAACGTAATTCCAAATGCGAAAAAGAGAAAAATTTGATATAAACATTGAGATAATCCCATATATAATCCTTTTTTAATCCCAATTTGTTTTGCTAAAATTAAATTTTCAGAAAACCTAAATTTACATTAAAAATATAATGATTTATTATATATATAGTGTTTCTTTACCTTTCTTCTTCTTTTTTTTGTCCATGAAATGCTGTCACTGTTCGAATACTTTGTAATACTTCTTGAGCAATTGATGATGCTGATACAAAAGCTTCAATTTCTTTCTTTGTATATTTTATTATAACCTTAAAATAAATAATATTTCACATAACATATCCATAGAAATTCAAATATTTCTTACTACTACTGTAAAATTGAAAGAAAGAACTACTAATGGAGTTACTGATAAAAATACAAGAGTTAATTTCCATCCAATTAAAAGACCATAGATTATCGAGGCTATCACACGTGATAGAAGAGCAATAAAATCAGCCATTTTATCACTAGAAATACGAAAACAAGAAAATATATATAAATGACTTTTAATTAAATTCTCATACTTCATTCCATCCTTGATTGTATCTACAATGAAATAATTTAAAACAAAACTGAATAAAATAGTTGAATCTTATTTTTGTCTTACCAAGATCTCGAATAAGATGATTACTTAATTCACCCGTATTATGTACATCAAACCAACCAATTTCTTGTCTTAAGATATTTCGAAAAAGTGCATAACTAGAAACAAAAATTTCTTTTCAAATATAGGAATAGAATTTCAAACCGCATGCGTCGAACTTGTCTTTCACTCGAAAGAATCCAACATATCCAAGCCAACCAATAGAAAAAAACGCTAAGAAAACCAACAAGAACATAATAATTCACAACATCATTTATATCATTTTCAGATGAATCAAATGTAGTGCTATTGTTCGGTACAATGAAACTATAAAATATCAATAAAACAAAGTGAGAAAAGAAAAATCTAGATACCATTCACTAAGATTCGTAGTCGTCGTACTATTCGTAGTAATATTTGCTTTTAATTTTCCTAAATTAACAAGTTCAGTCATTGCTCTTCGATAAAGAATTAACATCACTGAATAGAGACCTATAAATATAAAATATTTATATATCAGATATTTTTAAGTAATAGTTATAAAATATACTTCCAGCAATTATTGCTAAATAGAAAATTGAAATAGATTAAAAATTATATATTAAAAATTATATATTAAAAATTTAACTAACCAGCTATTGTACCAATAATCATTAAGAAAATATCCCATATATCAGCAAATCGATACAATTGATAGAATTTTAAACGACGAGTTTCATCTTTTTCAGATTCACTTGATTTACGAAAAAGTCTAAAGAGAGAGAGAAAAAACCAGCATATGAGAATAATAAATTTTGACAAAACGAAACTAACGGAAGTGTTGAAAGAAAACTGGATCGTCCAGATTGAAATGCCATATTTTGATTCATTTGAGATATATCTAGTGGAATAAGATCTGTAAAGAATTAAACAAAAATATCCAACGTATGTATATATATATATATGATCAGCTGTAATCGAAAAATATCTTTGTCATTGTGTATGACGTCAATGAATATATTTTTGTAACAATTATATGCACTTTTTACATACATGTATACGCTTCAATGCATTATACAGTCGTCTGAATAACTGAGTAGACTCATATAAAGTGTCAAAACAAAATGATCTTATACATACTTCTTACCTTGTCATATCAGTGTAAAAAAAACTTAATCATATACTAATGTCCTTCAGTGCAGTCATCTTATAGAATGTACTCGCATTTTTTCGATACTTATTTCAATTGTTTTTCTAAGCAATACAATATATTATTTACGTAAACATTTCAGTTCATTAAGGTGGTGGGAAATAATATGTTGAATTCTTAGTTTTACTTTTGATGATAGCAACTTCTATCTTTCGGTATATATATTAATCTCGCAAAAGAAAAATATTTTGGAAACAATTCATTCTTTCAACTATCTAATTATTTGGTTTTCTTTTCGTTACAACGTATTATGAAATATTAAGCTTTACCGATAAGAAACATAAAAAAATACATGTGGTTTTTGGGTACGTTTTAACTTGTCACTATTTACCTGTAAAAAATATTAACACAGAAAAACGTGAAATATTTTTGTATACATCACTATTTTATCTTATTTATTATAATATGCAATCAATTCATCAAATTAAATCAAATGGTCATGTAATAATTGTGAGCATCACTCGTCTTTTTGTTCATATATCATTCCAATGTTAATCGATTTGAATTTGTCGATTTGTTAAATAGTAATAGTGACGAGAATAAAATAAGTCTTTATTTTGAATAATTTCGATAGATATCAGATTCAGAACTCGAGAACATCATTGATAAAATATATGAATCCCTTACACAATAACTGTCTACTATGCCTGTTGTATCGTTATTATCTTATTCTTTTGCTGATGGAATCATTTACACTTCACTCGCTCAATTAGAAAAGAATGCACTTGGTAGATTTTGTCAACAATCAATCATTCGATTGAATTAGTTATAGAGTTGTTCTTTTCTTGATTAGATAAAATTATTACTGATATGATAAATATTAGGGATGCAAAAACGATGGCGAAAACCGTACGACTCGGTAACCGTTTCATTTGTATAACGGCTCATACATCAACAGTTTTTTAATTCAATATATGAAAAAATAGCTAATTTTTATGAAGTTTTATGTATAGAAGACAGATTATTTGATTCACTGATTTTACTTGTCAATTAAGACATTGAATTCTAGCTTAGATACATAGAACGATTAAGAGTGAAGTATACGATTTCAACTGATAGTAAATACCATATATTAAGTTATTTAATTATTGCTAGATTTAAATATTGTAACATGTAGGTGGAGTTGTATGTCTTAAGTTATCAATGCTAGTAAGGATCAAAGTTTTGATTAACTAAATCAGTCATAGAACATATAAAAACTATTTTAACCAAATACTAATATCTCACGAGACGTTTGTTAGTGTCAACATTCAGTAATAGCATTGATTTACATGATTAACTAAGGAATGTTATATCGTGTTCATTAGCTGTGACGATCGACAAAAGAATTTAATGTCAATAAATTAAGTCATAATATTTATTCATAGATGATGGAAAATCATTGAGAAACCATAAATAGTAGAAGGGTGGGTGTGGGTGGGTAAGAGTATTATATCCACCACAAACCCATTTTCAGAATAGTTTCAGTCTCATTTCTGGAAAAAGAATTTGTGTCTTCTCCGTCATATTCTGGTTTTCAGTAGAATTTCTTTACTTGCATTTCTTCATTCTCCTTCACGAACAAAAATTATTTTTCTTTGTTCTCACACTCTTTTTCCCGGAAAAAAGCCTATCTGTCTTCTCCGTTATAATCTGGTTTCCGAAGAGTGTTTTTGCTTCCATTATTACATTCTCGTTCGCAAACAAAAATTGTTTATTTTTGTTCGCACGCTCTCTTTCCCAGAAAAAAGATTCCTATTCCCGTAAGAAGAAACGTAAATCATTTCATAGCTCGACGATAGGTAGTAGGGCTGATGTTGCTTTTGGTCTTTCAGCGCACACAGGTGAAGATTGAAGATTGTTTCGAGTACTTATCTATTCGACGGAGTTTTCAACTATTTGGGAGAGTAAGGGTAAGAAAAATAACAAAGTCAGTATTTTACAGGGTTTGTAGTCAGAAAGAGTGTGAGAAAAATCTTGTAGATGTAGGGAAGAACTGAGAAAAGATACCCCATACCCATCGTAGAGCAGTTACTGGAGGCATCCAAACCTTTTAAGCACTATCAACATACAATCCCCAAAAGGTTGTGGGAACCACCGCTAGATATCAGGGATCATCTTGAGAATAAGGTGTAGATAAAAAGTAACGATTCTCACTCAGTCAGTCACCCACACTCAACCCTCTTTCAATGTAATAAATGACAAATGATCAAGTGTAATAATATACTTCGATTTCTAACAGAATTTTTCACACGGATTTGTTGATACATTCATTAGAATTACTTTTAGCAATGGATTATTTGAAACAATAATTCTATATTTGATTGATTAGTCTTTTAAAAGATGTCTCTCACAAATCTAAGTGAGGACAGAACAAGTAGAAAAAAAGACTAGCCATTTGTTAGTCAAGACGATATGTTTAGAACCATCGTTTTTAAATTAGTCCTGGTTTTATGTTCTTTCAAACCGCTTTTCAGCACTCTCGCTGTGAAGATAAAATTAGTTTCATCTTTTTATTCCTTACTGGAGTGACAGAATAGTTCTCTCACCACACTACGTTAGTTCTTCAAGTGAAAGAACGGCAAAAATATATTGTAGCAAAAAATAAACAAACACCTTTTTATTCTTTCTGCTAAATGAGGAAATTTCTTTTTGTTGAAAACGAGAATCGATAGAAGTAGCATAATGGAAAGAGAGTATTCCATCTACTTCAGCTTCTGCAACGCATTATGTGTTTTTTAACAAATGAAAGTTTTCATCAGCGCTCAACGTCGCTTACATTATATCGTGATATGTTTGAAGAGTAAATAGAAAAATATAAGTTGTTGGTTTCCATATTGCAGCTGCTTTACAGAAGACGCAGTATGCAATTACTGTCTATTTTTTCGCTGACACAATATTATTGAAGAAAAAAAATCATTTTTTTGTCGTTTCAACCAATCTGATATTATTTTGAGGGATCAGATTTATAGAAAAAAGAATATACATCACATTGTTTCATTTATAGTTAGAAAGAAAGAGGAGAGAGGTGTTTCGAACGACGTTTTCTTTGCTGTGTCTATTCATATAATCAAATACTTGATAAATATTGTCTGTCATAAATAGAAACCGGCTGAAATTCAATACTGACTGCAATTCTGAGCGTTCACTCATTGAAAACCCACAAACAATGTATTTTTCGAACTGATGCATAATTTCATCTTTGTAACTTCTATCAATTTTCAAATGATGTTACTCTGATCTGTCATATAATTTTTAATATAAAATCAGAGATCGTAATTTTAAACTATTTTATGGCAGATGAATAGCTTAATTAGAAAAATATCTTCGTATACGAGAATGACATATTCTTCAAAGACACCAGGTCTAAAATATGTACAAGTAGCCATTTCTAAGAGTTGAAGCTAGCAGACATTTTCCGCTTGATTCTGAGCAGTTATATCCAAGATAGCCTTTGACTTGTTAAGAAATCTACTTAAGGGTGTACGTATGGATGTAGATAAAGAGTAAAGACTCTCGCTCACCCACACCCTCAAGATGCGAATCATTACTTTAATCAATAATAATATATTATTCTTTTATTCTATGGATTTACATTAGATTTTGAAAAAATTGATATGAGAATATCATAAATGAGTGAGACAATAATAGAGAAAATGTGACCTTCTCTTTTTGACTATAAAAAACGCATAATATATTCGGTAATTATATGTAGATTAAACACATAACATTTTAGAACTCTATACTGCTGAATCTTTTTAATTAACATGGCAACTAATGTTCTGCCAAATGATAATTTTTACACAAATACCGATGATAAGTGTCTCGAAATATTCTCACTTATTTGGCTCGATGAGAATGTAAATGTTAAAGAGACCCGAGGTACAGAACAAAAATTACGTTCTATTATTAATCATATCAAGAAATTTCAAGATGTAAAACAATGTCAACAATATATTGAACAAAGATCAAAAAAAGATCGAATAGTAATGATTGTTAGTGGCCGATTGGGACGAGAAATAGTGCCTTCTATTTATAAACTTCGACAAATTATATCAATTTATGTTTATTGTATGGATAAGCAGAGTAATGAACAATGGGCTTACAAATTTGCAAAAGTAAAATCCTTCTAAAAGAGGTTCGCTTCATTTTAGTATTTTTTCATAGGTCAGATCTGTTGTTGTTGATCTTGATAAACTTGTCTCTCAAATTACAGCAGAACATAAAATTCAGAAGAAGATAGAAGAACCATTATCAATCAATATTTTCACAACGAATGTTGGTGCAGGTAAATCAACAACAGGAGTTAATGGACAGTTTGTTTTTTTTCAAATTCTCGTTGACTGTCTACTACGATTAAAATCAACTGAAATAGACAAAAATGAACTTATTACTTATTGTCAAAATGAATATGTAGGTAATAATACCGAACTAAACAATCTTCATGAATTTAAAGTGGATTATTCACCTGATAAAGTGTTATGGTGGTATACAAAAGAATCATTCTTCTACAAAATTCTTAATGCAGCTTTACGTGCACAAAATATTCATATGATTTTTTTATTTCGTGCGTTTATTCATGATATTTATCGTCAATTGCAAAAATATCAATCCAAGGAGTTTGTACGCGTTTATCGATGTCAGCTAATGTCGATCGATGAATTAAATAGTCTTAAACAAAATATTAGCCAGTTCATTTCAGTAAACTCATTTTTCTCCACCAGTGACGAACGCTCAACAGCTCTCTTCCTCCTGGGTGATATAACTACAAAAATTGATTCACAACGAGTATTATTTGAAATTGATGCTGATCCTAAAATGGTCACTACAAAACCATTTGCTGATATTAGTAAACATAGTTATTTTTCAGATGAATCAGAAGTTCTCTTTATGATTGGTTCTATTTTTCGTATTAATAATATTTATCGCGATGATAAAGATCAAATATGGATCATTAAAATGACTTTATGTAATGATGATGAACATGGATTAAAACAAGTTCTTATGTATATGAAACAACAAATTAAAAGTGAAGAGACAAATCTTCGAACATTAGGAAAATTATTAGGTAAAATGGGTAAATTTGACTTGGCCGAAAAGTATTTTAATCGCTTATTACAAGAACTTCCATCAAATGACCCTTTACTTAGCAGTTTATATAAAGATCTCGGTGAACTGGCATCACAGAGAGGTGATTATGATATGAGTGTTCAATGGCATCAAAAGTCCCTCGCAATCAAAAATAAAAATCAATTAACTGTTGATCCAACTATTAAAAAAACAAATAGTTCTGTCGGTAAGTTTATTGAAAGAAAATCTCTGATTTTCAGCTAAGTGACCTATTTATAAATGAATTTTTGTCTCGCCGAACACAGTCTTTCAAAATTCGAAAAGGTGAAACTGATTGAGACAAATAAATATCCCTTAAAAAAAATTTGTTTTGTGTTTATCAGTTAGTCATTTTAAATGATAGGAAATTATTAAGGATTGGAATTAAATCGATACACTCAATATTAACTAACATCAACTCTATTTATATTTTATCTTTTACTATTATTAGACTGTTACACATTTTTCACATTGACATTAATATTTAGTTCTTCGTTTATCTTTCTAAATCATGACATTTATATGAATAAAATCAGAAATCTATCTATTCAATAGTAAATCATATAAGAGAATGTGAATATTGTATCAGTTATCTAATTCGAGCGCGAATACAGATGAAGAATTTAATGATTAGCATCGATTTGTAAATATATGAAAATAATCAAAGCGACACTTTCATGTATGTTTACAAGAGAAAAGGAAAAGAAAAAGTTATCTTTCAATATCATTTATAATCTAAATTATATAGCATGATATGTCTAACTGAATTTCTAATATAAATCTTGTAGGTGTGGATACTGTATTTACCTACCACCCACGCCTTCAAAGATAAACAAACTCATTCAGATGAAATTAATCAAATTTTATTTTCAAATATAAAAACAATTTTATTAAATATATTTTAAATTAAATTATCTTAAATCGTTTTTATTTCTATGTCATCTTCATCCTCTCAACATACTACTTCAACAAAACAAACTTTCAAAATATATTTTTATACAAGCGATCATTTTTATTTTATTACATTTTAAAATAACACATTTTTCATTCATATTTATTCATCAATTTTATTCAAATATTTGTAAAATCGTTTTTTTAGGACACTCATCTCTTGTCAATCATATTGATATCAACACCAAATGGAAACAATATGGAATTACTACTGCTGGAATTAATGGACGGGGCGATCAATTAAATCAACTCTGCCTTCCTCATGGCATCCATGTTGATGATGACCATCAAACTATTTATATTGCTGATTATTCAAATCGTCGTATTGTTGAATGGAAATGTGGAGCAAAGAATGGTCAAGTTGTGGCAGGTGGAAATGGAAGTGATCAATTGAATGGTCCAACAGATGTGATTGTTGATAAAAAGAATGATTCTCTCATCATTTGTGATTATGGGAGCGGTCAAGTGGTACGATGGCCTCGTCAAAATGGTAAAAATGGAGAAACAATTATTTCGCACATTTATTGTCGAGGTCTAACAATGGATAAGAATGGAGATCTTTATGTTTCTGACTATATGAAGAATGAAGTGAGACGATGGAAACAAGGAGAGAGAGAAGGTACAATAGTAGCAGGTGGAAATGGACAAGGAAATCATCTTAATCAACTTAATTTCCCTACTTATATCGTCGTTGATAAAGATCTTTCAATTTATGTGTCGGACACAAACAATCATCGTGTGATGAAATGGATGAAAGGTGCAAAAAAAGGTATTGTTGTTGCTGGTGGAAAAGGTCAAGGAAATAGTTTGACACAATTGTTTAATCCTCTGGGAGTAAATGTCGATCATTTCGGTAATGTTTATGTGGCTGACTCTGGCAATTATCGAGTAATACGTTGGCGGGAAGGATCTAATGCAGGTAGTATTGTTGTTGGTGGAAATGGAAGAGGAGAACAATCAAATCAGTTGATTTATCCCACGGGCTTATCATTCGATGTTCAAGGCAATCTCTATGTTGCCGACTGGAATAAACATCGAATACAAAAGTTTGATATTGATTTGAATTAAGTTCTGTTGATGTTGGTTATGAAATGAATAATTCAATTTTGTGTAAAAATATTTTTGTTTATTTTAATTGAAAACTAAATAAATGTAGAAATTTAAAATGAATTTTTGTTAATAATTAAATCAAGTTTCATTTATTGATAAATATCTGTTTCAATGTAATTTGTTAAAATAATAAAATAAAAGTTTGATTTATTTGTTAATTTTGCTGTGATCGATTTGATATTGTATTTTAATTATTAAAATTAAATTTTGTAATTTGATGAAGATACACATAGAAGTGAGTTTTCAATTCTATTAAAGATGAGATAATCTTGTGTGTGTATGAATAAAAAAAATGAATGAGAAGATGAAATGAAATAGATCGAATTAATATTTTTTGTGTAAATAAAATTATCTTTAAAATAAGTAAATTTTGTTAATTTATTTGATTTGATCTTTTGTTTTGATAGTAATGATAATGAAATATTTGTTATTTTCATTTTGAATTTATTAAATCTAATCAGATGGTACGATGAATTTATGATCTATGATTAAATGGAAAGATAGGAAGTATTTGAATGATGAATCGATCGATTTTATGATGAAATAAGATTTGATGATATTGTTGTTTGTGTCTTCGAAATAATAATGAAAGAAGAGATGATAGTGATGATATTTTTATAAATAAAATATAAATAATGACTAAGATGATTTGTTCATCGAAATGATTTTGACAAATTTTAAATAAATAAATGAGAGTTTTTTTTCTTCATCATAGCAAAATGACAAACAGATTTGATTTTATGATAAATTTAATATTAAAAAGACAAAAGTGATTGTTATTGAGTAAGATTTTTGTTCAAAAATATTAAAAATTTATTATAGAATTCAAGTAAAGAAAATCTTATTGAAATTAAATGAAAATGGTGTTTTTATAATCAAATTGTGATATGTCTATGTGTCTTCAATAAAATGGGGATAAATAATGGAATAATTATTTTTATAACGAACGAATAAATTGAAGAAACGCTATTTGACTTATTTTATAAAGTTATTTTCTAGATAAACATATTTGTGATGAAAAAAGTTTGATGATTGAAATATTATTTTATCTAATGAACTATAAAATCTACTTAGAATTTAATATTAAAATGTTTATTAACGATAATTTTAATTTATTTGATATTTCAGGGTGTGGGTGTTCTTCTTATCAAACCTTGATACCCACAATCACACTCACACTCTGTTAATAATAACAATGTATTACGAGAATAAGTAACTTGATCAAACAATTTTCTAAAATACTATCCAAAATGCCATAAAAGTTTTACTCAAATGATCTTGCTATTAAATAAATTACTAAATACTTTCGGATATAGAATAAGTCAGACAGCTACAACTGTATTTCACTGAGACCAACTGGAATTCATCAGATACAAATTAGAACCAACAATTTACATATTCTACTGAAATGTTATTATTCTTCTGGTTTTTCTCTTCTAATTCCACTTTAGTTTTATTTTAACCATTCCTCGTTTTTATGCTTTAAGCTGTTCTTTCATTTGCACAGGCTTTATGAGAGCTTAAATTTAAATTAATATGATAATACGTGTCAACGAATTGAAAAATGCATTTAATTAGTTATTTCACAAGCATATCTTAAAACAAAAAAACGATATTCTGCATTTAAGTGGATTACTGAAAAGCAAAAGTAGAGACTAATACATTAAACAAGTCTTTTCGATGGAACATAGAGTAACTGATTTCCGAAAGATTCAACCCCAACCAGACCCACTGGCATTATATATCACCCTGTCATCTCGTAGTGCATCGCCGAGATGTTGTGCTCCTTCTACG